CGGGCGCTGGCCCCTGGGCACCTCCCTGCTGAAAATCGGACGCACTGGGGAGCAAACCCCAGGTCTGCCAAAAAATAAACCCTGACGATGAAAGAACAGAGCAGAGCTCCTTCACCGGTCTCTCTGACCTGTGAAAGCCACCTTACCCTGAGAACTTCCGCATCCAGACTAAAACACAGCGCTCCGGTATCTGCCAGGGCACCCGGGGACGAAACAAGCTTTGAATTAAGCAAATGGAACATTAAAAATGTATTTCTGAGTGCAGGGGGGAGCAGATAGATAGCGCAGAGACGGGTATTATGGGCTGCTTGTGCGGTTGTGCTGGGGGCTGTCATTAACCCCCGGATTTTCCCCAGGGAAGGAGGGCAGACACAGGAGCTGGGGCTAGGTTTGGGTACCTCAGGTATTTATACAGCTGCTCCTGCCGTGTTTATTCTTGTCTCTTCCTTCGGCAATGAGCAATTTTTGTCCCCCTTCCTTGAGCAGCTAGAGAAGCACTTGCTCTCTTCTCCAGCTCCAGCATCAGGCCCCACGCCTGCGATCACGAGCACGACTGGAGCTCACCCCCATCATCCCAACGGCTCCTGCTTCATCCCCAGCTCATTCCATCCCTGCCTGTGGAATCGTTCCCCAGAAGTCACAACAAATGCTTTTGGAGAGGACTATGCATGTCTGGCAGCAGCAGGTAGAAGGCTGCTGCTTACTGGGGCTTATCCTGATCGGCTCTGACTTTAATCCATCCGGATAATTCAGACTTCAGCCCTGGCTCCTGTTCAAGGAGTCAGCCCAGGGTTTTCCAGCCAGCTATGGGGAATCTCTCCCTGATGCAAAGGTCTGCTGTCAGGGAATACAAAAAGCCAGATCACCATCACTTGTAAAACTTGCTGCCCCAGGGCCTGATTTCCAGAAGGAAAAGAAATTTAGAGGTGCATAAACTTCAAACAGTCTAAAAAGCTGCTGCTGGGGCTGTAGCAGGGGTTTATCTCCCAGCTCCATCAGGCCACAGCTGAGAACCAAGGACAGAAGGAAGCACCGTGCTCAGGTCAGACTCCCAACCTGTGAAGCTCCTGAAGCTGGAGCCCTCGCATAGCTCCCACACATCTTCTGCTGGAAAACCGTTGGGCAAATAATCCAGGCAGGACAGTTACAGGCTTGTTTTTATTAAAAGACATCTTCAGAAAAGATATTTCAGTACAAAAAAAAAAAGTTTAGAATACACAAACTACAGTTGCTTTTTTCTTTTAGCATCAACATTTATAAATTACACCACATTGTTAATAACACTGCATTTAAATACGGAAACAAATTAACCCAGGAAATTCATCGACAAGATCCAGCGTCCTACAACCGACTCTTTACAATATTTAGCAGCTAGGAGCTCTAGCACAGGAGTCAATATGACTTCAGTCGGGCGGGATGCTCGGGAAGCCCCAAGACGGCAGCTTGGCCCATGCCAGCTCTCGGGGACCTGTTTGCCCACCTCCCCGCAGACACCCAGGCCGAAGGCAGCGGCAAGGCCGGACGTCAGGGTGGGGACCCGACGAGGCGGCGCGGCTCTGGCAGAGGAACCCTGTTGTCCCCTTCCGAGTGAGTTTTGGGGCGTGCACGCAGGACAGTGTGGTTCACCCTGCAAAGTCCGAGGGGTCTGCTGGGAGCAGGCAGCTCTCCAGGGGATTTACAGCCGGCAGCAGGGCTGGTCCTGCCCCGGGACAGTCCCCGTGCTGTCCCAGCACTCATCCTAACCACCCCCAGCAACACCGGTGGGCTTCAGGCAGAGCTCAGGGCTCAGCTCTCCCAGGTCAGGCCCTCGTGCAACCGGCTGCAGGATCCCACCCGTCATCTCCCAGAGCTGGAAGCAGTTTCCCCAGCTCCTGGCAAATTCCATCACAGCCAGAAATAGAGAGCTCCGAAGCCGTGGGGGTCAGGGAAGCCAAGAGGTCCCCTTCTGCACAGGGTGTCCTGCAGCCCTCCCACCAGAACCCGTGTCCTCAAGGGGGTGAAGCTGACGGAGCTGCCTGAGCCTCACTGCCCCATGGCACCAGCCGGGGAAGGAGAATGGAAGGGCTTTCACAGGAGGGCACGCAGGACATCACTTGGGAACAACGGTGAGAGACAGTACACAGCAAGGCTCCGTACCCAACGCTCGGGTCCAGGGCACCAAACCACTTCACGTGCTCCCCTTCCGCCCAGCCCCAGCTCATCAAAACCAGCACAGAAGTGTTCAGACAGGACAGAAAGCACCAGACGACTTGAACTTGCTGCAGCAGCACGTGGCCAGCTGGAAGACACTTGTGCATGCTCTGGAGGTGGATGGCCCTGCTGGTGGCTCCTCTTCTGGTTTGGGAGCTCCCATCCAGGGGGTTCAGCAATATGGAGCTGGTTTACTTGCAGCAAGGAGCTGTGTTGTGCTGCTAACTGGCTGCTAACCAAGAGAAACGCTCCTCGGGGCAATTCCCGGGGAGGGTGGGTTTGTTTTCTGTAAACACTAAATGATGGAGCTCAGGTCTGCGCTCCGGAGAAGGTCAAAGTCTCAAGTGGCAGCTTTAGGGCCCTGCTTCCAGTGCTGCGGGTTGGATTTTCATGGTGGTTGACTTCAGCGGGTAGTACCTGCCTTTCCATGTCTTCCAGAAGATGCCCTGCTTGCGCTCGTGCCTCTGGCGCGGGATGGAGCGGAAGTACTTCCCGTTGAGGTTGGCATGGCCGCAGGTGCTGAACCACCAGCCACCTACCAAGGCAACGCAGAGGCAGGTTCATCCCACAGCTCTTCCAGACAGAAAACAAACCCAGGTTCAAGGCAGCTGCCACCCCCCTCTTCCCCACTTTTCCAGGGCTTCAGGACCTTACAAGACCCCCTTGTACACACTCGAGGAGTCCCACGCACTGGGAAACCTTTGCACAGATCCTACGCGACTTCAGGATGTGTCTGCAAATCCCCGCTGCTCTCTCACACACAAAACCCCCTCAACCCCTTCGGCAGCCCCACCTCAGGCCTGGGGACTGGCCTCTGCTTCGCTTGAGGGGTTTCCAAGCAAGATGGGAGCCAGCAAAGCTGTTACGAAGACAGATGCTTGGGCCAAGACCTGAATCATGAACCCCTCCCGGTTTCAGCTGCCCTCCTGGTTCCCTGCACGGCTCCTCCCAAGGATGCAGCTTTCCCAGGGAAGCAGGGGACACACCGGGCTCAACACCAAAGGGGTCTAGTCCTGCAGGGTCACTGTCCCATCACGGCCACAAGCAGACAACAGAGGGCTGAAGGGAAAGCGTACTGACCTGAGAGGTGTTTGGCACAGTTTGTGTCGGCTTTGAGGTCATGGTCGCGATCCCGAGTGGAGAAGGGCAGCTGCCTGAAGTCCCCGATGGCATTTTCCAGCTCTCCAGACAGAGGTCCCAGAAGGTTGAGCGTGTAGGCTGTGCTCTCGCTGCCAAGGCTGAAAACAAACTGAACCACCTGGGAATTTCCCTCCCAGTCTTCCAGCTCGATCAGGAGATCGTACCTTCCCTCTTGGACAAGGTGATGTATCTTCTCCAGGCCCAGCCAGAAGTCACCTGAAACAACACGTTGTGTTGGCCATGGGGACACCAACACGCCATGCAAAGCAGACACGCGAACAGGCCCCAGGGACAGAGACAACCCAGGACACCGCAGCGTTTGAATCACCGTCTGGCACGCGCGGGACAAGGCAGGAAGACCAAAGACTCTGCAAGCAGTGTCCCCCACTCTTCAGCCCAGCACTGTGCTCCGGCACAGACATCTCCAGGGGCCAGCAAGGGGGAATAACTTGTGCTAAAACATCACTTATCCCACGATCAGAAGACGGACACAGTCATCCACCTACCACGAAGGTCTCCAAAGCCGTTCTTGTAGGCATCCCAAAGCTGGTCGAAGTCCACAGAGCCATCTGTGCGCCTCTGGATCACTGTCCAGCCACCTTCTGTGGGCAGGGAAAACACGGTCATGGGGGCTGACTGTTTGCAAGACCGCCGGGCAAAGCGCTGCAAGACATCTCCACCGCTTTACCTGCCGTCATGTCGCAGTAGACTTTGAAGGGCTGAGACCCTGCAGGCTGCACCTGGAAAATGCAACTGCTTTGCTGGCCGGCCAGGAAGAGCTGGTGGCAATCCTCCGGGAGCTCTGCGGGGGAAGGACACAGCGACTCAGAAGATGGCCCCGAGTCCCGCTTCCTCAGCAGGTTGCTCCTACCACGGCCCCGGCACTTGTGGCCCTGGCCAGGGGCAGCTGCGCGCAGCGGTGGCTGCGGCTCTGGACACGTGCTGGGGACAACGGCCTCCGACTCGTGTCTTTAAACGCTGTGACCCCGTATCTTCCCGTTTATCCAAGCGCAGCTCCCCGGGCTTCCGTCCAAGGCAGAAGCCAGGCGTCGGGCCAGGCTGGGGGGGCCTAGGCTGGCGAGACAAGCTCGCTCCCTCCGTGCCCGCTCGGCGTGGGGTAACACCGGGGCCAAGCATCCCCATCCCACCCCGAGGCTGACGCAGCCTCAAAGGGCCTCAGGGGCAGAAGGAACCCCCAGGTCCCGACGTCAGGAAGGCTCCCGAGCATCCAGGGTGTGACCTCTCGCTCCTGGTGACCGCAGCGTCCCCAGCCAGGCGTCCCGCTGGGCAACCGGCCATCAGCAGGCACGATGCCAGGCTGGGGTGACCCTTCTGCCCGAGACGCACCGACTGCAGCAGGGAAGGGGTGGGTGGGCCACGGTAGAGCCCATGCACAAGCAGATTGCTTGGGGTGAGACCACCCCCCAGGTCACCCCCATGCCGGGGGGTGGGCTCCCACCTCTCCTTCCGCCCCGGTGGGGACTTTGCCCGGAGCTGCCAGCAAAGCACCGTTTCAACAGCGCTGATAAAAGTCCATCCAGGAACCACCACCCGCAGCACTCGGGGAGAGACGAGGGAGGGAAAAACTTGTTACAAAACCCGAGTCGAAGGGCGGCAGGAGGATGTGCAGGGACTTCAGCCCCCGGGCTGTCGGCGCAGTCAAGGGGCTCTTTGTCAGCCGGGACAGGTGCCCCCGTCACCCCCAGACAAAGGGGGTCTGTTCTCCCCGCACGATGGTGGGATGGGGTTTGGTGGCTCACAGCTGCTGCCAGCCCGACCCCAGGGCAGACGGGGGGAGAGACCCGGAGACAAGCGCCAGGGTGGGGCAGGGT